CATTAAAATGCCCAAAGAACTCATTGTATACACAGAGAAATTTTCTCCCAACAGCTCCCATATGGCTCAGCTTATTGAATATATGCCCTTTAGTTGAAACCAAATGCTATAGACTCTCATTTTGCTGAAGAGTCATCAAACACAACCCACCTACCACCCTTCCCCTAATGCCACCCAACTCCACTCCCAAGCACAGGGATCTGAACTTCCAAACCCCAAAACCAGTATGTGCTTTCCACAGAGACACAAGGCACTATTGCAAGCCCAGTATGTCTACCTTTCCCTTTGAAAGAAACTAGACTGCTTCCCAGACTAAATACATCTGAGTACTTGGCCCCAAGACAGTCTTGTGATTCAGAGGGCAGCATCTTCTGAATACTGTAGGAAATATATACATGAAGAAGCATGAATTAGACCAATACCTTGAGACCCAGCAATGAAATAACAGAGATCCTTTCAGTAATTCATCACCTAACAAAAGTCAAAACTATAAGGGTCTTCTGTGATACTGTACTTTTATTGTGACCCCCCCAAAAAAATTACCATCAACAGCCTCATAAATCAACAGATTAGTTCATCTCAGACTAAAAGAGAAAACTCTGATAACCCAAAAGATTAAAGATTCTTGATCGTTAATAATAAGCCTATAGAAGTGTTCGAGGTGGTATAAACAGAATAACCTTCTGATATAGGAAACAGTGCAGCTACATTAAGTGCATTAATATCTATTTCTGGGGATTATGTCACTAAGGTATATAATGAACACAATAATTTTTATAAAACCTTAGGAATCTATATTGTCCTATACACAAATTAAAAAGAATTTTCTCCCTTGGCCTGGGGAATTTAGCTCAAAATATACTTTACATGACCCAGGAGAAATGGAGTATGTTGTATTGGAAGAATGTTCTGAGATTTAAAATTAATATCTGTTATGGTCAGCAATTCTGCTTATAGAAATCCATCCATTGTATATTCATTGCAGCTGTTTACTTCAGTAGCTAAAAGACTAAAAACAATCAATGCCCATCAACTCAGGAATGCTTAAATAAATTATGTACCTAATGGACAAGTGGGGAAACAGTACAGCTATTGTCTCGTGGACGCATACAACACATCTACAAGAATCTATCATCAGCAACTCTGGTGGAAAAGGACGCGAGGATGCAGGCGTTTCTTTTCACTGATTCTCCCTTTATCCTCTGGATGTTCATTTACCACCTACTCACAAATTAAACACTTAAAGCCAAGTTTTTCCTTGAAATGGGAAACACCCAGTATCGTGCTAAGTGTCACCAAAGGACCCATAAATACCAACTGAGTATCCCCTGGGCAAAGAGCAATTTGAAAGTGTCTACTTCCTTACCATAAGCCTTGAAAACCATCCCTGCCCTTTTATCCCAGGAACAGTCCCGCACAAGGGGAACTCTCTTTTCAACGTGGGCTTTAATACCCAGAGCATTAGATTAAAGCAAACTATGGGACTGGATGGAGTAGAAAACATCCGTGTACCAAAAGGACTTGGCCCTTGCTGGGGTGACAAGTTAGGAGGGTAGAACAGTCATTTTAGCAAAGATTAGTGGCATGTATTTTCTTTGCTACTTATTTGAGTAAGGTAGGAAGAATCCCCCCCACCCTTGTGGAACACCTGGCCCCGATGCAATGTAGTTCTTTGTTCCCATCAAAAATGTCAAAGTTCTAAGAGAACTTCAGTCTCCTTTAGAGACTTGCTAATGCGGTTCCATAAAAATCTCAGTGCCAACCCCATTCTGCCTGCACAGACTAACTAACTCTCCTGCACTATGAGCTTCTTCCCAGGAAGCTTTGCTCCACCACCTGTACGGTGACCACCTGCCCAGAGACACTTCCCAGATTCTGAAAACTTTACTACCACTAAAAGATGAAAGGGACAGCCCTCTAAGAGTTGGGACACTCCAGGGCCCATGACTCAGGCCTCAGAGTGGAGTGCTAAAGTACGTAAAGCTCATAAAATCAGTAGCTTTGCAGGAGAGACACAGTTTGTCCACAGGTTACCTTTGGAAAGCATGTTAATCTAATGTGTGTGTTTTTTTTTAAATACAGCCATCATATAGATAAGTTATCCACTTTTAACAAGAAAGAGTTTCAGAGGTAGACAGCAGGGCCTAGAAGCCAGAGACTGGTGGTACAGGAATAGCGGCTGACAAAGGGCTGAGAGAAGAAATACACAGAACTAGAAACATGAGACTGAAAAACTGAATGTCTCTCTCTCTCTCTCTCTCCCTCCCTCCCTCCCTCCCTCCCTCCCTTCAGTTTGGACAGATAAAAATCTCAAGTCTGAGATATGCAGAGCTGACTGAATTATTGCTCAGCAAAGCATTTATATTGTGGGGAAAAGGCCATAAAAAGACCATGCCCTGATCATATCAAATAGGCATTCTTGTGTGGCTTTAGGTGGAAGGACAGAAAAGAAAAGAAGGCAACCAGTTCAACAACACGGTTCACACTGATAACACAGGCTGCCATTCTCAAGTGAAAAGAAGCCACACGAAAGGATCATACACACCTTAGATAATATACAGAGTCACAGAAAACCCCCAGTGGATACTGGGTACTACACAGGAAGAAGAGGGAGAAAAGGTGACAACAAGGTACAAAAGAATTCAGGGAGGAGAAAAACAGCTACTTCCACTACTTTTAATTGTGGTGGTATTGTCCCATGTTAGCTATATCAAAGCTGATTGATAAACTATGCACACTTCATTGTATAGCAATTACACTTCTACGTATAAATATAGCTTTTAATGAAAAACATTTTTAGAGCCTCCCAAAAGAAATTGAATGAAATCTTCCCCCCAAATCATTTTTTTTAGTCCTATGTCTTAAATGTGACAAAATCAAACAACTATAACCATGAACCAATCCAAGGAAAAGTGGGGGGAAAGGAATTTTAAAGCCCAACACCTTACTCCCGGAAACCTCCAAATACCTGCTGTCAGGGTCCCGGAAAAGGGCTGGTGCTGACGGTTGGGCTCCAGAGCACTGTGAGCAGAGTAGCCAGTCTCCATGTGACCTATATTCCACCGGCCACACCAACATTCCTCAACAACAGCTGGGAGGGAGAGGTACCCACCCACCCGCTCAGTTAATGACCTGTCAAAGCTGGGGTAAGCCAGGAAGAGAGAGCCAGTTTGTTTTCCTTTGGCCCCAGAGCTATTTAAGTAACTCATAGGCACCGGTGTCCCACACAAATTTGCCAGAAGGAACTGGGCAGAAGGCACGTGGGAATGACACAGTCCAAATGATGCCAAGGACACTTGGACTCCCAGGGGATCCCAGAAGATGGCCCTGACCTGAGGTCTGAGCCTCTCTAGGCTTCCTCACCTGCTGAAAAGGAAGGCGTCATGAAGCAACTTAGCATTTCAACCCATTTCCCAGGCTTGAGTCACCGCTATGCTTTCTTGGCTGCTATTCCTGACCCATTCCACAGCCCCAGCATGATTCCTGCCATGGCTACCTTGCCTGGGTGGGAATCAGTTACTCACCTATGAGAAGGTCAGGTTTCTTCACAGCCCACTCACTTCCCTGACACCTCAGCGGGTGACAAACACCCTTCCTCTTTCCCACACATTTTCCCTAGGACTATTAGAAAATGCTACCTGACCAGCTCCATCTCTTGCCCTCACAGTGACCTACCTCAGCCACTTGCAGGGACAGGTGTACCTGGGATCAAAAACAAGCAAACACTTCTCTGGGGCCCCACCTCCACGGACTCCCTGCTCTAGGAAGGAGCTCCTGTTGCCTCAGCCCTGAGTGATTCCTCTGGAGTTGCATCAACCTTGCTCCTGGGGAAAGCTGACAGAAGCCATGACTTCAAAGGAAAGGCAGTTAGAACCGATAAGAAAGGGAAGGGGTTCGGAAAAAACTAAGAGAATGAAATGACTTAGAAGTTTCTTGGGCCCCAGGATGAAAAAAAATCCATTTTCTTCTCCCAAGCAATATAATGTCATCTTCTCAAAAACATTGAAAAGACGTCAATGTGAAGTTTCCAAGTGTGGTCTCATGGCAGCAAAAAAGCATAGATCTTCATCTATAAAAGGGGGGGTCCCCTATCTTCCAGAGGAAGTTCACGGAAGTGAGGAAAGGGAATGAAAAGGGAACCAAAGCCAAAATTGAGGGTGCCCACCACCTCCAGTTCCCAGGGCTGGGCCTCCGACTCAAGTTAACTGCTTAAACATTCCACTTTGCTGTTGTGCTTCCCAGCAACGCTGGAGATTTTGAATATGTAAAGTGCCAGGCATGGATCTGGAAGAGCAGAAGGACTGTAGGCTCCTATAAATAGATATGTTTTGGAAAACTTCTGGAGTGGATCACCAGAAAACTTGTTCCTGGGCAGTGGGGAAACCATTCTTCCAATTAACACGACCGACTGCTGCATGCAGCAGTTTATAAAGCGGGTGGAGAGCATACAAGAGGGAAGGGAGAAAGTGGAGACGCGTACTTACAAACTAGTGCAAATAAATCGGGGCTGAGTGAGAGTCTAGGAGAGACCCACGGTCAGAGTCCTTAGGACTCTAAGTCCGCTTTAGCCATGGGCCACAAGCACTGACTGCAGAATAGAGACTTCCAGCTTGGAAGGACTTGTGAGTGAGAGAAAAGCAGAGGGGACTACAAGAAGCAGTGATGGGGGCGTCTGAGGAGGGAAGTGAAGGCCAGCCAGTTCTGCCGATCTTTCCACAGAACTAGACGTGTCTATGAACAGCAGAGACCGGCACCAAGTGTGGAGCACTGGAAAACACAATGCACTGACCCCTAGGGACTGATAGGGCAGTGCCTGCCTGGTGTTACCCAGAGGCAAGGTGTGAGTGACTGAGGGCTCAAAGGGACTCCGAGCTGCTGGAGCGCTCTAAGGAAAGAAAGGATTAGGGTCGCGGTTACCCAGGCTTGTGGCAGACTCGAACCTGAGACTTTCGGCTGGGACCAGAGGAGTCCCGTAGGTGCTGGGCGGGGCTCTCTCTCACCTGCGGAGCACCAGGAAGCTCAAGAACAGCAGCAGCACGAGTCCGAGTGTGCGGCCCGGCCTCCGCCGCAGGCTCCACTTGGGCATCTCGCGAACGCTGCGGGCAGACACCCGGGTTCCCCACTCCAGCCGCACTCAGCGGCCCGCCAAAGCCACGGTCCGGTGGGGCGGGGCCGCACACGGGTCACCCCGGCAACCGTGCTACGGCCAGCCCAACCCGCTGGCACCCATTGGCTGAGGCATGCGGCCCCGCCTCGCCGCCTGGGCCTTGTGCAGACAAGCTCCCCCTCCCCGGCCAAAGGCGAAACAAGGCAGGGGAGGGGCGGGGCGGAGTCTGGGCGGGCGGGGCAGGGGAAGGGGCGGGGTAGGGAAGGGGCAGGGCAGGGAGGGGCAGAGCAGGGAGGGGCGGGCGAGGGAGGAGGAGGCTGGGTGGTCTCAGTTCTCCTCCAACCTTGTCCGGGTGCCACAGAGTTCCCTGCTGCCCAGTTTAGGCAGGAAGTTACCATCTACCCAGGTCGTCCCGCCTCCCACCCTGCACTTAAATGCAGGGTCTTTTCCGGCATATGAAATGCCAACAGGTGCTGAACTATTGGACCTGTGTTACTGCTTCTTCAAATACTCAAACTCTGGGAAAAGTCACTCCCTACAGCATTACATAATGAAACAAGAATTAAGTGTGCCTGGTCAGAAGTGCAAAGAAAAAAAGGTCTCTTAAAACAACTCGAAGTTTGAAAAATAAAAATGATTTTGAAGTAAAAACTCGTGTTAAAAGTCAGGGCACTGTAGAATTTAAGACTGAATTTAAGAATTTGGTGGCTGAGTGTAGTTCAAGTTTCACTAGCACTAAGGGGAAGAACAAACTATTCTGCTTGTGGTTCCACACACAGATAACTAAAAAAAAATATAATTATTTTAGGAAAAGCTGAATATAGTTTCCCTGACACGGAATTGTTCCAATGACATTATCTAATATTTGGTGGCATTTATGCCTCAGTGTAGCAAAAAGGGGGGGAGGGGCGTGAAAGAAACACACCCTGATTCTGAGACCCAAGCTAATGAGAGAAATGCTTTAGCCCAGAACCCAGAACCAAAGAAATACACACTGACCCTGAAACCAGTGCCAAAGAAACACACTTTGACCCTAGAACCAGAAAGTAATATGCCCTGGCCCCCAAACTAAAGCCAAAAGCTTAAAAAGGCCAGTGAGAAAAGCACAGTGTGGCTCCGAAATCAGCCATCTCTGACCCTGACCATCTAAACTAACCAATCCCTGAGCAGGGAAAACTAACAATCCCTCTTCTCCCTGGGAAAACCCTGTGTCTAAGAAGCCCTATATTGTAAGCCCTGTGCCTGTTCCATTTGCGGCTGCTCTTCTTTTATCCTGGCAGAGGCAGCCACTCTCCTGGATTCTTCCCTCCCAATAAATCTCTTGAGCGAGGTTTTGGTGAAGACCTTCCTTTGCCCGAGCAGAGGTGGAGCCTAGCAGGACTTTCACTTGGGGATTCTTCTGCTAGCAGCACCCGGGAAGCTGGAAACGGAGGAGCAGAGTGCAACAGGGCTGTTAAACTTTTGCTGGGGAAACCTTTCCCTAGCAGAGCAGAGTTGCTACAGTTCAGAACACCCGAGCCAACCTGTAACAACTTCACTGCACTGGGGAACCCCTCTCCTGCCAGGGCAGTGCTGTCACTTGGAGGAAACCTTTCCCTGGAGCGGGGCTGGAAGTTGCTACATTTACTGTGTCCTGTGCTAGTCTCTGGCTCCTGACTGCCAGACTGGCTTCCACCCAGTCTGTAACACTCAGTATTTTCTGGCTCCAGACCGAGAGGATCCCTATCCATCAGAGCAGTGACACACTCAGCATAAGGCAGGTTTTCAGAGTGGGTTTGTAGAGAATCTCTACAGCTGCAGTCTGAATTGTGTGAAACTGATAAGTACTAAGAGTAATTCCAACTCCAAGAATAAAGATAAAAAGTTTGCTTTGCCTCCCCTCTAAAAGGATCCTTCCTATCATTACATGGTCAAAGTATCAGAGGTTGGCCCAGATATTGCTCTGTTCATGGGAGCCTTGTCCAGTTATGGAGACAAGTGTCAGGACTCATAAGAAAAGTAATTAAGATTATGGGGGAATTTCTGGAAATAAGTTAGGACCAGTTCAATCATAGACAAAAAGGAAATAGGAAATTCTAAAGTGAAAATTTTAGCCCTGGAAAAAGAAAAGAACTAAGCTGAGAGGCAGATGAGCCCTCCAGGTTCCAAATGCTGTGATTGCGGTGCTGGAAGGAGCTGGTACATACCTAAAGAATGCCCAGAATCATGTCTGCTTCATAGTCCAAAACCATCATCCCCAAGCTCAGCCTTTAGAAGACTGAGTGACCATGATCTAGCACAACACAATCATATTCACTTAAAAATAGCCAAAAAGGGCAGGGAAGGCTCATGAGGCCTCAACCCACACAAAGAACTACAGGCAACTAAGGGATGCAGAGAGTGTGAGAAATAATATTCTCCAGGGAAGAGAACACAAATTGGTTATTTAATACAAAACAGTAGGGCCTGAAAACATATGCATGCAAAAATGTTTTATACACTATTCATGATATAGACTGAACAGACTATATTTATGGTGTGTGTGTGTGTGTGTGTGTGTGTGTGTGTGTGTGTAACAACAATGAAAAAAAGAGACCCTGAATTTGAAAGAGAACAAGGAGGGGTATATGGGAGGGTTTAGACTGAGAAAAAGGAAGTGGGAAATAATGCAATTATATTATTTAAATAAAAATAAACAGCAAATGTTTATTAAGCACTTGTTAAATGCTGAGCACTGTTTCAGATTCTTTCAGGCGCTTTGGATACATCAGAGGACACAACAGAACAATTCATTTCTTTTCCAAATCACTTTTGTCCTTCCCTTTAAAACTCATTACTCTGGTTGGGAAAGAAAACTGACAAAAATCAATGTAGTAAAACAGTACACTGTAGAATATGTTCAAAGGTAATAAACACCAAAACAAAATAAAATTTAGACAAGAGCGGAGGGTTAGGTGTGTCCTGTAAGGGGCTGCAGAGAACAAAGACTCCCTAGAAATGTTAACTGAGCAAAGGTCTGGAGGTAAAGCAGCTTAGGAAAGGTTGCCCAAGCAAAGAAAACAACCAGTGAGTGCATGGGCACTGAGGCGGGACCAGAACCAGGTGTTCCAGTTCAAGGAAAGCCAGGGATGCCAGTGAGAAAGGAAAAGGGTGGCGTCGAAGGCGGCAAATGAGGTCAGACAAAGGCAGAATCCAGGCCGTGTGGGACCTAAGAGTGGGGCCTTGGACCCTACGTGAAGTGGTAGTGACTTCAGTCTTCGGACATGAAATTGATGATGGTGTAGGAAGATCGTTCTGGCTGTTGTGTTTAAGAACCTCAGGAGCAGGAAAGACTAAGGGAAAATAGATGATTTGGCATCTTGCTGTAATCTGTGTATTACTCAGCCTTCTGATACTATCACAAAGCATCTTAGACAAATAATTTATAAAACTGAACTCCAGTTCATTGGAGAAGCCACATCTATATTCAGAAGCCATAGACTATGAAGTTCATGACTGAGCAGAACTGTGTGGATGTGGTGATGTGGAAAGTTACACATGAGGAGTCAAAGCTATCTTGGATTATGTTTCACCGGCCATGCTTATCATCCTGCCTATCTGACCTAACACCCTGTGACATCTATAAAGTGTTGTTAAGCATGTGCTTGTCTGGTCTCCATTAACCCCGAAGCTAAGAATGCAATAGTATCTGAGTCCTATAGATTTGTAAGGTTCATTATAGTCCACCTACCTGATGGCACACGCTATAGAACCGTAACTAATACTGACATCCAAATGATATTATCATGAGAACTGATGTTGGCTCACAAGGGGAAGATAGCAACGGAGGTGATGAGACATGCAGGACTTCTGGATATATTTGGAAAGCTAAGTGGGTTTCTACAGTCCATTGTGTGTGGAGTGGGAAATAAAGAGGAATAAGTGATGCTAATATACTAAAGTTGAGAATACTGCAGGAATTGGAGTTGTCATTGCTTGAGACAGGAAAGCTATGAGGAGAATGAATTTACTGGGGGGTTTCAGGCTTGTGCTTAAGGAGTTTGAACTGTGGGCGAGATATCCAAGGGGTGTTAAATATAAATACAAGTATAGTATTACATAGAGAAGCCTGATGTTGAGAAAGAGTCTGGGAGGAAGATACCAATTACGTATTTTATGGAATACTTTGAATGAGATTCCCAATGAACTCAGCATGATGGATGAAGGGGACCAAGTACAAACTCTGGTACATCTAACAAGGAAAGAGGAGGAACTCATTGGGACAGAAGCAGCAGCACCTAGGGGGGAAGAAAAGAAGTCAGAACGTGGTGTGTCCTGAAAGTCACAAGAACAAAGTCCCCAGGCAGAGGCGGTGATGGAGTGTGGTAACGCAGCTGCCAAGAGTGGAACAATGTGTGTGTAATGCATCAGATATTGGTGCCCTGAGCCAGCCTATGTTCACCTGAGATACACAGTGAGTTCAAGGGCAGCACCGGAAGTTCAAAATAAAAAACATGTTAAGAATCTGGGGACCCAATATACTGGTAGAACATTTGCCTAGAAAAGCCCTAAGGTTGATCCTCAGTGCTGGGTACATATAAGAAAGGCAAAATTGAGTGAAGAACTTAGATGCTGTGATAGTCTTGTCAACTTGACAGATTCTAGAATCACCTAGTAGGCAAGCCTCAGATACAGATGTGAGGGATTTTCCTGATTAGGTTAGTCTCTGTCCATGTCAGTGAGGGACTATCATGATTAGGTTAGAGTGAGAAGCTCCACCCTAAAAGTAGAAGACACCCTTTCTTGGGTTGGGGTCCTGGACTGCATAAGAAAGAGAAAGTTATCTTTGTGCCAGCATCTCTCTCGTCTTCCTGGTGGCAGGTATCATGTGACCCCATATCTCAGGATCCTGCTGCCTTGCCTCCACTGCCACGAGAGACTACATCCTCAAATTGAGAGCCAGAACAATTCACTTCTTTTCCAAGTCACTTTTGTCAGAATATTTTAATCACAGCCACAAGAAAATAACCAAGTCAGGCGGCAAACATAGACAACCTCCCTCACCTTTCTGCAAGCT